AGTGGAACAGAGGGGAAGTGGGTAGGAACAATGGAGAAATTCACTGTTGTTTGCATTTTAATAAGAAACCACCCAAGGCACACTTTTCGAGCCAGTAGGGGAACAGAAACACAGTTCTCCTTCAAAATTCACACTTCTCTGATTTTTGCAATCTGGATTTTGGAAAAATGAGAGGCTGAAAGAAACCACAATTAAAAGAACATATTTGCACATTAGGAAAAGTGCTATGAATGTTATGTCCGTGATGGTGATAGCAATTTTCATTACGAAATAAGCTCAGCCTAGATCTCTCCCCCCCCCCCCTTTGTGATACAACAACAGCTATAGGCTTTCTTAGTTCCACACGTGTCCACTTGGATTTATTCCAAAGAGCTGCCTACACTGAGGTCTTTTAGACACAGGTGGAGAGGAAACGCTTAACTCAATGTTATTACTTCAAGAAAAGTGACAAACAGGAAACCCAGTCCAGGATTTCCTGCTTTACTTTGGTACTAACCCTGCATAGACATGTTAAATCAACAAGAATGACAGCATCATTTATTTTCAGTTTTGTGTGACGGGGAATCTTATATTGTCTTACAAGCCTGTCTTCATTATAACCAAGTGAAAACAAGAAGGCTGTGTCACTGCATGCCTCGTTTCATAGCATGGTTTCTCCATTCCTGGATGAGTATTAAGTGGTGAGCGTTTCAAATAGCAGACATAACTGTGTTTCATTGTTTGGTATACTTTCAGCTGTGATAACCTTGCCTTCAAGAGACTCGGTTTTTATTATTCTCCTGAAGAATCTCCCCTCAAAGCTGTGTGTTAATGCCAATTGAACAGATAGGCTTGCTGTCATTTGTGGTTTTAAAGCAGAGGCTTTCAAACCTTTTAGGCCTTCGGGGAATGCTTTTTTCTTTCTTTTTTTGACACACTATTATTCTTCCAGACAGTAGATTTTTTCTGGTGGGATTCAATCATGTACATACTGGCAAATTCAGGTTGTGCAATTCGAGTGAATTTGGTGCTCTTCCACAAAAAGCTCACTTCTTCTCAAAATCAATACTTTTTGCAATCACTAAAATGGCAGGAAAACACGCCGGAAAGTGTGTGGGGTAACAATTGCTCGATGTTGTTTAACATCCCTGCCATCAGATTGAACGCTCCATAAAGAGTCCGTTTCATCTTAAAACCACCTAAAGTTTGTGCATTAAACAGGTTGTCAGGAAGGAGCCCCTGACTGACCTGTTGAGGAAACAGTGAGCACTGGGCAGAGAATTAGGAACCATGTTGTGGCTGGTTCGCAGGGACGCGGGTGGCGCTGCGGGTAAAACCTCAGCGCCTAGGACTTGCCGATCGCATGGTCGGCGGTTCGAATCCCCGCGGCGGGGTGCGCTCCCGTTGCTCGGTCCCAGCGCCTGCCAACCTAGCAGTTCGAAAGCACCCCCGGGTGCAAGTAGATAAATAGGGACCACTTACTAGCAGGAAGGTAAACGGAGCCAGAGCAGCTTTGTCACGCTGGCCACGTGACCCGGAAGTGTCTCCGGACAGCGCTGGCTCCCGGCCTCTAGAGTGAGATGAGCGCACAACCCTAGAGTCTGTCAAGACTGGCCCGTACGGGCAGGGGTACCTTTACCTTTACCTTGTGGCTGGTTCATGTTTGGCTCATGTAGACATGTTAAGAACATAAGAAGAGCCTGCTGGTTCAAGCCACTGTCCCATTTAGTCCATCATCTTGTTCTCATGGTGGCCAACCAGATGTATGGGGGGGAACCCACAAGCAGGGCCCGATCCCAAGAGCACTCTCCCCTGGAGCCTCAGAGCCATTGATTTCCTTCTTCTCCATCGATTTCTCCAACCCTCTTTTAGAGCTATCCATATTGGTGGCCACCAGGGCCTCCTGTAGTTTAACTCTGTGCTGTGTGAAGAAGTACTGGAATTTATCAGTCCTGACTATTCCAGTAATGTTAGGTCACATTGCTGTGAATGAAGAACAGGGCCTGCCCTAGCATATGAGGTAGCTGCCTCAGGCAGCAAATGTTAAGGGATGGTGAGCTGTGGGGTAGGTTTGGAGGATGGAGCTGTGTGTAACCATGCAGCCTGCCGTTTGCTCCCTAAGCTAGCTTCAGGGGCGGTGGAGAAATGTTGTAAATGAAGTACGATTCGACTGTCAGACCAGCTGCCTTCTGCCCATGGAAGCAGCCATCTTTTCCTTCGCCTCAGGCAGCAAAATGGCTTGGGCCTGTCCTGATCAAGACTGTGCCTTAGAATGTACAGTGGTACCTCGCAAGACGAATGCCTCGCAAGACGAAAAACTCGCAAGATGAAAAGGTTTTTGGTTTTTTGAGTTGCTTCGCAAGACAAATTTCCCTATGGGCTTGCTTCGCAAGACGAAAACGTCTTGCAAGTTTGTTTCCTTTTTCTTAAAACCGTTAATGCAGTTGCGACTTGACTTCGAGGAGCAACTCATAGCATGTGGTGTGGTAGCCTTTTTTGAGGTTTTTGAAGACTTCGGTGATTTTTGAAGCTTTTCCAAAACTTTTCCGAAACCGTGCTTCGCAAGACGGAAAATTCGCAAGACGAAAAAACTCGCAGAACGAATTAATTTCGTCTTGCGAGGCACCACTGTACTTCTCTGCTCTGTTTAAAGCTCCTGTGAGGAGCTAGAAACTTTTGAAGTGTGTGTGTGTGTGTGTGTGTGTGTGTGTGTGTGTGTGTGTAAAAGGATAAAGCTAATTTCATTGTTTCAGGCTCTTGGTTAATTTTATTAAATTATTCTTTGCTCTAAGTATCAAACCTGTTGACAGCTACAGTATTTGTTAGTTGACCAGAAATTCATCCTGCAAAGCTGCCCTAGAATATCCTCCCAGTCAGGAAAGTGAAGATTACGAGACATATGATTTTATTTCTCTCGGCGTTTTCTCTCTCAGTCTAAAGGGTTTGTCAGAAGAGGCAGCTTGGAAATGTTAAAGAAGCCTTTTAGTCACTGCTTAGCATTCAGGCTTTGAGGAAGCAGAAGACAGATTTATCTCTTCTGCCCCCACAAATTCCTCATCCCTCTTCTCTGCCAAGGCCAGAAGGGCTTGGCTCAGAAGGGGTCAGGAGAAGGGGCTGTTTCCAGAGCTCCTTGGAAGAAGCCAAGGAGTTCTTCTGCTGGAAATAGTTGCTCCTCAACATATCCTTTGCTCCCTGGTGATTTTATTTGCCATGTGCATTTTCTCCTCCTAAGCTTCACGGTAAGCACACAAAAAGCTTATTCACTGTTTCACATTTTCCAGCAATGCTGCCCTGCTTTCTTTTCTTTTTTTTTTTCTTTTTTTTTTTTTTTTTGTTAGCCAGCAGAGTGGTTTAGCAGCTGGGCTGTTGTCCAAGCTATTTGGAATTCAAGAGTGTCAGAGAAGGCGAAAAACAAAGAGCCTGATGCTTAACCCCTGTTTTCACTTATTGGACATTCTCATCCCACCCTTTTCCTGCAAGGAATTTGATGCCAGCATCATAGGAAACTGCCTTCGACCAAGCCAGAACAATTCTCCATCTGGCTCAGTGGCTGCTGAGCCATCACTCTGACTGGTAGCAGCTATTCCCTGCATATATGGCTCTCCCCCTCCAACCCATTTTATCTTCACAACAACCCTGTGAGGTAGATTAGGCTAGAGAGATTGACAGGCCCAAGCTCACCCAGTGGTTGGGTGGGATTTTTGACTTGTCTCCCCAGTCCTCAGGGATGGGGGTGGGGAGGATCTTCAGATCTCATTGGCCTCCGACTGCAACCTCCAAGAGCTGTTCAACAATAAAACAGCCTTCCTTGGAAGGTGATGGACTTCTCCAGGATAATCAGGGATTATTTAGCTGTGATTCCTGCATTGCTGGGGGTTGGGGGTTGGAAGTCCCTTCCACTTCTACAATTCTGTGAGTCTTCATCTCCCGATTGACCATGCTAGCTGGGAGCTAAAATGGGAGTTGGAGACACTAGACCATGAATAGGCAAACTAAGGCCCGGGGGCCAGATCCGGCCCAATCACCTAAATCCGGCCCTCCGACGGTCCAAGAATCAGCGTCTTTTTACATGAGTAGAATGTGTGCTTTTATTTAAAATGCGTCTCTGGGTTATTTGTGGGGCATAGGAATTCGTTCATTCCCCCCCAAAAAAATATATAGTCCGGCCCCCACAAGGTCTGAGGGACAGTGGATTGGCCCCCTGCTGAAAAAGTTTGCCAACCCCTGCCCTAGACTGATTTGTTGCTCATTTGACATCGCAGCCAGTAGGTGTGCCACTGCATTCCACGTAGTGCTTGCTGCAGAAATATGGAGTTTCTGCCCCCCTCCCCTCCACACGCACCCCAGGCACTTTTTGAAGACTTCTGTTAAGTTGTTTGGAAACCCAGTCGGTGGATTTGAAGTGTGTTGGCTGCAGTACAGGAGCTTGATCACATGGATAAGGCTCTGCAGAGAGAAACTGGAAGTCCAGCACATTCCTTTGTGGTGACACATCTGTATTGTAGGGGAGAGGCTTTTGCAGCAGCCGCTGAGTTTTATCTGAAAGCTGTCAACGTTTTGAAAGTTGAGGCACTTTTTGTGGTTCCCCCATGCCCCTGAGGTTTGGCTGAACGTCATCAGGGGCTGAACCTCCACTGGGACAGCACCTGCCCTGTGGAACTCCTTTCCACTAGAGGTTCAGCAGCAGCCATCTCTACTCGTATTCTAAGAACTGTTATTATTCAGGCTGGCTTCTTGCACCTGAGATTCTTTGCCAACCATCTCTTGCTGATGTGTCTGGCATTTTTAGAATTGTAGAGTTGGAAGTGGGACCCCATGGGTCATCTAGTCCAACCCCCTCTGCAATGCAGGAATCTAAAGCTTCCATGGCCGATGGCCATCCAATCCCTTATTGTAATGCGGTGTTTTGTAGTCTGTGGTGCCGCCTTGTGATGAGTTATATAAAAGTGCAGTTTATGGATATTTAAGTAAATAAACCAACAATAAATAAATGCCTGAGCTTCTCTCTTTCTCTCTCCCAGTTTAGGAGTCACCGGCCAACATGTCTCTCAAGAAGGAAGGTGTGCAGAAGAAATGGGCTGCCTTGAAGGAGAAGCTGGGTTCTCAGGACTCCGATCAGACGGAGGCCAACCTGGAAAACGCAGAGCCGGAGCTGTGCATCCGCCTCCTGCAGATCCCATCCGTGGTGAACTACTCAGGGCTCAAGAAGCGGCTGGAGAGCAGCGACGATGGCTGGATGGTCCAGTTCCTGGAGCTCTGCGGACTGGATCTCCTGCTTGAGGCCCTGGACAGGCTTTCCGGGAGGGGGGTCTCCAGGATCTCGGATGCCCTGTTGCAGCTGACTTGCATCAACTGCGTGCGAGCAGTCATGAACTCTCAGAAGGGCATCGAGTACATCGTGAGCAATGAAGGCTACGTCAGGAAACTCTCCCAAGGTGAGAGAATGTTTCCCTCGTTCGTTCCACGCAGTGTTTGCAGGCACACAAAACATGTAGTGGGATGTGGGTGGCACTGTGGGTTAAACCACAGAGCCTAGGACTTGCTGATCAGAAGGTTGGTGGTTCGAATCCCCGCGACGGGGTGAGCTCCCATTGCTCGGTCCCTGCTCCTGCCAACCTAGCAGTTCAAAAGCACATCAAAGTGCAAGTAGATGAATAGGTACCGCGCTGGCGGGAAGATAAATGGTGTTTCTGTGTGCTGCTCTGGTTCGCCAGAAGTGGCTTAGTCATGCTGGCCACATGACCCAGAAGCTGTACGCCGGCTCCCTCAGCCAATAAAGCGAGATGAGCGCCACAACCCCAGAGTCAGTCATGACTGGACCCAATGTTCAGGGGTCCCTTTACCCTTTACCTAAAACATGTAGTTGCAATGCAACAAAAGTAGACCTAGACCATGGGTAGGACAAACTAAGGCCTGGGAGCCCGATCCGGCCCAATCACATTCTAAATCTGCCCCACGGACGGTCTGGGAATCAGCATGTTTTTACATGAGTAGAATGTGTCCTTTTATTTAAAATGCACCTCTGGGTTATTTGTGGGGCCTGCCTGGTGTTTTTACATGAGTAGAATGCGTGCTTTTATTTAAAATGCATCTCTGGGTTATTTGTGGAGCATAGGAATTCGTTCATTTCCCCCCCTGTCAAAATATAGTCCGGCCCCCCATAAGGTCTGAAGGACTGTTGACTGGCCCCCTGCTGAAAAAGTTTGCTGACGCCTGACCTAGACAATAAATAAAACGTTTAGAAATACGCAGTGCTTTTTTCTTTGAAAAAATGTTTAGGGGTACTCTCATTTTAATAATAATAATAATAATAATAATTTATACCCCGCCCATCTGGCTGGGTTTCCCCAGCCACTCTGGGTGGCTTCCAACAAAAGATAAAAATACAATAAAACCTAAGTCATTAAAAACTTCCCTTAACAGGGCTGCCTTCAGATGTCTTCTAAACATCAAATGGTTGTTTATTTCTTTAACATCTGATGGGAGGGCTTTCCACAGGGCGGGCACCACCACTGGGAAGGCCCTCTGCCTGGTTCCCTGTAACTTGGCTTCTCACAGTGAGGAAACCACCAGAAGGCCCTCCCAGCTGGACCTCAGTGTCCGGGCAGAACGATGGGGGTGGAGATGCTCCTTCAGGTATACTGGACTTTCTTTACTCAAGAAAATCTCCATTATAGTAATTTCCCTACTCATATTGAAATACTGCCCCTCGATGAGGCCAAACTTGTCATTAGTAAAACACCACACATCCACATTCCACACTGCTCCACACATTAAACAATCGCTTCTGTCTGAGACTCAGGAAAGACTGTGAGAGGAAATGAGGCCGCCATCAGGGGTAGCAACAGAACTGACAATTCACCGTGCTAGAGAAGAAACTTAGAATTTATTTATTTTTTTAGTTTCTTCTTCCATTAGAGTCACAAAATGTTTAGGAGCATGCGTACCCCCAGGAATAAAAGCACTGGAAGTACGCAACCAAACTGAGCAGGGGCACAAGCAGGTGGGATTTGTGCCTTCCTGAACCAAGCCATTTCCAAATTTGTTGTCTCGAGGTTAGACTAGGGTTACCAGACATCCCCGGTTCCCGGGGACAGTCCCCAGATTTGCACATCTGTCCTTGGACAAATTCCGTCCCCGGAATGTCCCCAGATTTGCAAATCTGTCCCCGGGAAACGTGGCAGTGGCAGCCTCAACAGCCCGGAGCCAGCCTGGTAGTGCAGTTGGCTCTGGCTGGTTTCAGGAGCTGCTTGCTGCTGCCACCACTGCCGAAGGGGAACCAGGGATGTCCGGCGGTACAGATCTCCATCCCCCTTCCCCCTTTGTTTTGACAGATCAGGGGAAGCTTGGGAGTCACAAGTGGGCAGGCGCTGCCCAGGAGGGGCGCAAGGCGCGTGGTTTCTCTGCCAGGCAAGGTGCAAAGCCCTTCTTTTGCACCCTGTGAAACATAAATGTGAAGAGTTTGTTTAGAAAACCAGGCAACAGCCACCTGCCCATGACTCGCGAGCCTCCCCCGATCAGTCAGAACAAAGGAGGAAAGGGGAAGGAGATCGGGGGAGGCTTGGGAGTCGTGGGTGAGCGGCGCGCCATTGCCCAGTTTTTAAAAAACTCTGCGCATTTATGTTTTACAGGGTGCAAAAGAAGGGCTTTGCACCTTTATACAATATGCATGTGTGCTTGGGCCCAGGGTCTTTTGCCTCATCATCCCCACTACTGACTCCCTGTTGCTATTCAGCTTCAAAAAAAAAAAAAAAAGTGTCCCTGGAGTCATTGAAAAAAATCTGGTAACCAAAGGTTAAACGTGCCCTCATTGCTGACCTCGGTCCCTCTGTCTCTGCAGCACTTGACACCTCGAACGTCATGGTCAAGAAGCAAGCGTTTGAGCTCCTGGCCGCTCTCTGCATTTACTCTGTGGATGGTCACGCTCTGGCGTTGGACGCCCTGGATCATTACAAGGCAAGCAGAAAGTCAGATGCATTGTTAAGGGCACAATGTACACACACGTATGAAAATGCTCTGCTGAATCAGATCAAAGGTTATCTACTCTAGTGTCTTGTTTCCCACAGCGACTAACTGGATGCCTCCAGGAATCTCGCAGGTAGAGCTTCATATAGGGATGGGTGGATGGGCCGCTTTGAAAGTGGTTTGAAGTTACCTAGTGAATGTAAATAGATAATAATAATGAGATTTAGTAGTGGGGAAAGATAGGGGAAGGCCTGTAGCACCCTTTGCATGCAGAAGGTCCTAACTTCAATCTCCAGCACCACCAGGTAAGGCTAGGAATATCTCCTGCCCAAAACCCTGGAGAGCTGGTGCCTGTCAGTGGAGGCAGCAATGAGACGGACCAATGGTCTGTATAAGGCAACTTCCTGTGTATCTACATACGTAGGCTCTTCATATAGAGCGATATGGGGAGAGCTGTTGCTCATCTAGGAGGGCATCTGCTTTCCATGCAGAGGGCCCCGGGTTCAATATTAATATCAATATCAATATTAATATCAGTGTTGATATTAATGTTAATATTAACCCAGCTGACTGGGTTTCCCCAGCCAGCATGTACAAACACATAATGCAGCTGTACCTTGGAAGTTGAACGGAATCCGTTCCGGAAGTCCGTTCGACTTCCAAAACGTTCGACTTCCAAGGCGCGGCTTCCTATTGGCTGCAGGAATGTCCTGCAGCCAATCGGAAGCTGCGGAAGCTGTTCCAGATGTTCGGCTTCTGGAAATAATTTGAAAACCGGAACAATCACTTCCAATTTCCGAGCATTCGGGAGGCAAAACATTTGAGTTCACAGGCATTTGGCTTCCGAGGTTCCACTGTAAAGCATTGAATGTTAAAAAGTTCCCTATACAGGGCTGCCTTCAGATGTCTTCCAAAGGCTGTATAGTTACTTATCTCCTGCCTGCTGGAGTGTAGCACTGCCAGCCAGTTTAGACAGTACTGAGCTAGAAGAACCAATTGCCTGACTCATTTTAAAGGAGCTTTTTAAGTTCGGCTGTTTTATTAAGAGACTATAGCTAAGTTGTAAAGCACTTACTCTGCAGGGGGGAAATCCCAGGGTTGGTCATCAGCATCTCCATGAAGGGCAGTTGATGGGGAAGAAAACCCTTCTGTGACCCTGGAGAGCCCTTGATAGTCAAAAGTAGGCAGTTCTGGGCTCGATGTCCAAAGGGTCTGGGCAGTTTTGATGCAAGCAGCTTCCCGTGTTCCTCTTGATTTTGAACCTCGATTTGACACGTCTGCGATTTCTGTGTCACAGACGGTGAAGAACCAACAGTACCGCTTCAGCGTCATCATGAATGAGCTCTCGACCACCGACAACGTGCCCTACATGATAACCCTCTTGAGTGCCATCAACGCGGTCATCCTGGGGACGGAAGAACTGAGAGCTCGGATGCAGCTCCGCAATGAGTTCATTGGTAAGGACAGCAATCCGGAAACCTAGAACATGATGCAACGTTAATGACAGAGCCATTCCTTGATCCAGACTGGGGTTCTAGGATGCTGTGGTCTAGGTATAGACTAGGCATATACAGAAGGGACGTGGGTGGCGCTGTGGGTTAAACCACAGAGCCTAGGGCTTGCCAGTCAGAAGGTTGGCGGTTGCCAATCAGAAGGTCGGGGTGAGCTCCCGTTGCTCGGTCCCTGCTCCTGCCAACCTAGCAGTTCGAAAGCACAAAGTGCAAGTAGATAAATAGGTACCTGCTCCGGTGGGAAGGTAAACGGCGTTTCCGTGTGCTGCTCTGGTTCGCCAGAAGCAGCTTAGTCATGCTGGCCATAATGCCCGGAAGCTGTACGCTGGCTCCCTCGGCCAATAAAGCGAGATGAGCGCCGCAACCCCAGAGTCGGTCACAACTGGACCTAATGGTCAGGGGTCCCTTTACCTTTACCTTTTACTCTTGCTGTTTGCTACACTGGGCTCCTTTGTGAGGAAGGGTGAGATTTAAATAAATAAAATAGTTTGTTAGTAGGGCTGGGCACAACCTGGTTTTCAACATCATGATATATCACCATCTAAACATCGCAATATACTGGTCTATCACAATGTCTGAAATAAGGAAATAGCTATGTTAAGGCATTGGCTGGCTTTGTGGTTTGTCCCTCATCTTTATTTATGCATAGCACACAGACACATGTCTGTGAGTGAGGTCCCTAATAAGGAGGATTGGCGATAAAAAATGATAGAATATTCAAAGTTCGCAGGCCTAACAAGTAAAATAAGGGAGCAAGTAGATCAAGTATAAAAGTGGAGTGGGAAAAATTGTGGAGTATTTGGAAAATAACTGTAAACATGTGAAAACGCTAGCAATATTAAGGTAAATTCAACAGTAAAATATGTAATAAAGGAAGAATAAGGGGAGAAATCAAACTAAATGGATATACTGTATAAGAATATGCAGGAATAGTGGGAAAATCAAAGGAACCAGGGAAGGGGAAGAAGGGAAGTTGTTGATTGTTTTATTATAAAGAAAGATATTAATAGTGGAAATGTATATTTGAATTTGATTTTGGAAATGGTGATAAATATATATATATATATTTTAAAAAATAATAATGATTCGCAATATATTGCAAGGTCAAATATTATGAAACCAATCTCACAATATGGACTTCAAACTGGTTTTGGATGATATATTGATATATCACCCAGCCCTATTTGCTAGTGATTGTGTTCTTTTATGTCAGTGAAACTCTTCAACACATTTTTAATTCGCTCCTTCCAGGTCTCCAGTTGTTGGATATTTTAACCAAGCTGAGGTGAGTCATTTATTATCTTTCTGACCATATCCGTTGAGATTTATTTTGCAGCAGCGCATCATTTCAGGATGATCATGATCATTGTCGGTACAAATCTTCAGGCCAGCCATTATGTCTGCGGTTATTTCTGTCTAGCTCCAACCACTTTGCATGACAGACCTATGCATCAAGAGATTCGGGCTTGAATAGACTTGTAGCACCATTACATTTCCTTTGAAACAGCTGTGCTGTGCTCACATTTAGGGACTGATGGATCACTGTATTTAGATCCTGGAAGGAATTTTCCCCCTAGTCAAAATGACTAATAACACTGGTGCGTGTTGGAGATTTTTACTATCTCCATCATTTTTCTAAGACCCTTCAATCTTTTTCTTGCAAATAATGACAATATAGGTATGCATTTTCAGTTTGATTTTTGCTACCATGAGGTCTAGAAGCATTCTTTTTCCAAACCCATCAGATTATCCTATGACCACCTAGGATTTCTTCACAATCCAACTGTATAAGAATATGCAGTATAGGTCAGTCCCAGCTGACCTAGGTTGAGACAATTGCTCTAAGTGGGTGGCCCAGTTTTCATGATTAAGCATTGGCTTAATAAACTAATTGCTTCCCACTTCCAAATTCTAGCTCGTTTGGAAGCCATTAACTGCAGTTCCCAGTTCATACATAATGAGAAGCAGTAGTTAACAGTATCCAAGGTTATTGAGCCAGGATTTGATCCATAAATGTCTCTAGCTACACCCACCAGTAGGAAACCCCCATTTATTCCTTCTTCTCATTTATTTTTGGTCCATGGGTGCATTTTACTGGAAGAGGACACTAGCAGCACTTGTAACGAGGCAGAGCCATGGGTTTGCCCTCCTGACCCTAGTGTAGCAATGGCTTACCAGGGCTGGGTTGAAACAGGGCAGTGGTGAGGTCAGAGTCATACAGCTGCACTGGGTAGAGAGCTGGATTGGCAGCGGCAGTCCTGCCAGCATAGCTGCATTGGCCCCAACCTTACCACCACCTGCATCCCCATCCAGGTAAACACCAGTGATGCTGGTGTCTGGAGGGTAGCTGTGCCCCAACCATAGCTGTCAACCTTCCCTTTTTTTGCGGGAAATTCCCTTATTCCAGCGCCATTTCCCGCTGCTTCCCGCTGCTATCCCAGATTGTTAGATATCCCGTAGACTATCCCCAAGACAGGTGAGGCTGCTGATCCCTTATTTTCGAGGCTGCTGATCCCTTATTTTCAAATCTGAAAGTTGGCAGCTTTGGCCCCAACCAAGGGCACTGCTACTAAGAAAAGCCACAGGATTCTCTGATTTGCAAATTGACCTGCCCTCCAAAAATGTTTTGGGAGACTTAAAATATGAAGAGGTTTCCCTAAATATGTGTATTTCACCTTTTCAGTATAGATGCTTGTACTAAGGAGAGCAGGAAGTAGTTGAGATTTGGGGACACCCTCTCATACCTGTATGTAACTCAAAATGAGCTCAGTTATTTAACGGAGGGTTTTGCAAATATCTACTGTTGCTGGTTCTCTGCAGAGATATAGAGGATGAGGACTTGCTTATCCAGTGTGAAACGTTTGAGGAGGCCAAGTCCGAAGACGACGAGGAATTGCTGAGGATATGCGATGGGATTGACATGAGCAACCATCAAGAGGTTTTCTCATCCCTGTTTAACAAAGTGAGTGGGGGTCTTCTTTTTAAATGCAGCTTTAAACATTTTTAGAACATTCCTGTTCTGTCCCCCCCCCTTTTCCAAATAGCTAATAACAAGTATCCATTAAAAAACTTAATAAATATCAGATATAAAGCAATAATCAATAAACAAAGGAAAGCCACTCGATCCATTAAAAACAACCATATTAATTATTACTGTTGTTGTTGTTGTTAAATATCTATACTGCCCTTCATCCAAGGATCATGGGGCAGTTTCCAATATAAAAATGCAAAAATGCACACCATAATAACAGACAAATAACCCCCGCACACACACAGTTTAAAAGGCCATAGATTGTTTAATTAACAATTTAAGAGGAATGTTTTTGCCTGGTGCCTAAATATATGCAATGAAGGAGCCAGGAGAGGGAAAGCTTTGTCAGAACAGAAACAGCTGCAACAGAAGTTAGAAGATGCAACGAGTCATGCTGGGCCAAACCTAGGGGCTGTGGAGCCCAGCATCCCCTTGCCACAGTGGCCAGCCAGATGCCTTTGGGAAGCCTACAAGCAAACTGTGAGGGCAACAGTCTTCTGCCACCATTATGCATGGTGCTTCAGATCCTGAAAGTGGCAGGTAACCATCTAGCCTTGTCCTCCATGAATATTGGATGTGACGTAGAATGCGATCCTTGTTTCACTCACAGTCACACTGCACCATGGAGGTTTGTGAGCAAGGTGCCCATATATCCTGTTTATACATCCCTCATGCAGAGATGCCCTCTGCCACACATGCACACAAGAATTTGCCCACATGTATCCTATGCCTGCTTCCACAACTGGGAAATTTGGCTCGGCCCTTACATCCAGCATCAGCAACGAATAACTTGACAGCCCTGGGCTTACAACAGCGTAGGTTTTAATGGCCAGATGGGCACCCTGCCATGTAACAATGACTTACGATCTGGAAAGCTTAACTTGTGGTGGCTGCTTTTCGTTTCAGGTGAGCAGCTTTCCAGCCTCCATCCAACTGCTGTCCATTCTCCAGAGCCTCTTGCATCTCGAACCTTCCCATCGCTCCAGCCTGTTGCTATGGGAATCCTTAGAAATCCTAGTAAGCAGAGCCATCTTGCTTGCAAATGACAGTAAGTGGAAGCTCACTGTAACCTATGATGCAGCCTCAGTGCTGTCTTTGTGTCGTCGTCGTCTTCTTCTTCTCATTCTTTGGCGATCACTCATAGCTGAATAAGATTGTCTTCCATGAACACAGTTTTAACAGTGTCTGTTTAACAGTGAGTCCGTAAGTGACTATGAAGGCCAATTCTGGATCCACACGTCCTTCCATGGTGGGGACATAGGTTTCTGGGCAGGAGTTGATCACGGTGAGGGTTTGCCTTTCTCTTGGCACATTTCTCCCTTTTGTCCTGAGTTTGTGCTTCTTCAGAGTCCATGACACCTTTGGTAATGGCTGTTCTCCAATTGGAGCTCTCACAGGACAGTGTTTCCCAGTTTTCGGTGTTTATACTACCTTTTTTTAGATTTGCCTTGAGAGCGTCTTTAAACCTCTTTTATTGTCCACCGGTATTTTGCTTTCCATTCTTGAGCTGTGAATAAGTAGTTGCTTTGGAAGACGATAATCAGGCATCCGAACAACATGACCAGCCCAACGAAGTTGATGTTGAAGAACAACTGCTTCGACACTGGAAATGTTGAGAATATTGTTTCTGGTTTAGGACTATTTATATTTTTAAAAGGATATTCTACAAAGGGAAACATACTACAGGGGAAACATTTCCCTGCATATCTACTTTTACATTTATATTTATAATGCCTTTTTCCCTAACAGAGACTCAAAGACAGCTTACAGATAAAATAGAAACAGCTTTAAAAAATGGTAGTGGTAGGGAAATCATTTTTAAAAAAAATAAACATTTACAGAATTAAAACTGTATATAAATACAAAATTAATATATATTCTGTATTTATATATAGTTTTAATTCTATAAATGTAAACCATACAGATAATTACAATAAGGATGACAGGATATCAGCCCTTTTGTTAGAAAGCAGTCAGTTCACCAAAGCCAGCAGAAGGGCAACAAGGAGACAGACTATTGGTCTGCCTTCCTACATTCTATGGCAAAGAAAGTTGTGTCTAGCTGTCATCTGAACAGAAAATGCATCTAACAAACCCCTGTGATACCCTTCATTTATATTCTCATGAAGGAATGGCAGAGCTTCCGGCAGGGTGATGACATCATTTGGAAACCACCAACCCAAAGCACCTCTAATAAAGCCAGGGGACCTGTCCATCATTTTTGATAGAGGTGTGCAGCTGAGGAAATACTTGGCTCTTCCACAGTGGTTTTCTACGGCCACCCCAAAATTTCCCTCCACCAGCCATTGGACTGGGTATCCCTTGTTCTGCAATAGTAGTCATAGTAGTAATAGTTTTTGTTTGTGCAGAAAGAGGCTTTGAACTGGTTCTAAGGATGCCTTAGATCTTCTCCCCTTCATTGCAGTACAAGGCAACAGCGTGGAAGAAGTCATGGAGAGGCTGCTGTCCATCAAGAAGAGGCCAAAGAAAAGAAGCCCAGACTCCCGGCGAGGCGCCAACAAAGTGAATGAGAGCACTCAGACCAATGATGCTTCTGAGGGTCTTCCAAACGCCTACCAGAAATGTCCTCTTCCCGCGACTTGCCCCTCCGGCGGCCCACCCAACCCAGAGGCTCCAAATGTGTCTGAGAGCGTTATGCCATCCCAGCTACTGACCTGCTCGGCATTGCCTGGGCAAAGCTCCACTCCATCGAGTGCCCCTCTACTGCCACCACCTCCCCCTCCACTTCCTGGAACAGCCAGCATGGCATCACAACAGCTGCCGCCGCCGCCTCCACCACCACCTCTCCCTGGCATGATAAGTGCACCACCTCCAGCCCCCCCTCTGCCTGGCATGGCGGGGGTCCCTCCCCCTCCTCCCCCTCTGCCTGGCATGGCAGCGATTCCTCCACCACCCCCGCTCCCTGGCATGATAAGCGCGCCACCTCCAGCTCCCCCTCTGCTTGGCATGGCAGCGATCCCGCCACCGCCCCCACTCGCGGGCATGCCACCTCCTCCACCCCCTCTGCCTGGCATGACTGGGATTCCTCCACCGCCCCCGCTCCCTGGCATGGGAGGTGTGCCACCCCCTCCCCCGCTCCCTGGCATGGGAGGTGTGCCGCCCCCTCCCCCGCTCCCTGGCATGGGAGGTGTGCCACCGCCTCCACCCCTCACAGGCAACATGGATGAAATTGTGATTGCCCGTGTCGAGGTCCCCCTTGGGTACAACAGGCCCTTCCACAAGAGGGTGAAGCCTCCGACGCTAAGGATGAAGAAGTTGAACTGGCAGAAGCTGCCCTCCAACGTGGTGAGAGGTAAGTTGTGCCAACGCCACGTCCCGTTCGCTTTGTCGCCAGCGCAAATTCTCTCCCTGTGCAAGCCTACCTGCATGTTAAGGTCCTTTTCCACATGCCAGCTCCTCCTGAAGCATAGCCGGTAGGGTCTTCTCGGTGGTAGCCCCAGTGCTATGGAACTCTCTCCCCAAAGGACGTATGGCCTCACTGTTCCTTCCCTGTCGTTTCAACGAGCTGCCTATCGGTGGCCACCTTGTCCCGATAGGGCTTGTCGAGCTGCCCATGATGCTGGCTTTGAACTTGGTATATTTAATTTATATGCTAGAATGCTGCTAATTTTTGATGCCTGGCTTGAACTTGGTAGCGTCATCAATTATTTATGATGCTCTAGCGGACCCGGAAGTGGTTGCGCCCATCGGGGGCGGTGGGAGCGCGCCGTGCGGGTTGGTGGGTGGGGGAAGGAGAGGAAGAGGAGGGGGCGGCGGCGGCGGCCGGAGGCTGGACGGATCCGCGCAGGGACGGCGCGCGAGCCGGGAGGAGGCGCGAAGAAGGAGGCAAGGCGAGAGCAGCGCGGCTCGGGATGCATTCGGACTGCCGGCTGCTGCGCCCGAGACGCGGGGTATGGTGAGCAGCCCGGAGCGCCCGCTCCCCCGGGGGACCCGGCCGGCGCTGGCCTCCCTCCTCCTCCTCCTGTTGCTGCTCAGGCGGGACGCGGCGGCGCAGAAAGGTGCGTGCGGGAGCCCCGCCGGGAGGGGAGGGACCAGAGCCTTCCCGCCTTTCTTGCTTGGCGCCCACCCAAAAGCCCGCCGGGTTTTCGCGCCTTCCTCCAGTAGGCCGGCCGAAGCGAGCGGCGATGGGATGTGGGAGCTCGCTCGCTCGCCGCCCCGCGTGTGCTCGCCGCCGCCGCCCCGCCTCTCGCCGCCCGACTCGCCCGCCTCCCTCCCACGGCACACCAGCCGGTGTCTCACGGCACACTAGTGTGCCGCGGAACACCGGTTGGGAAACACTGCTCTAGAATGCTGCTATTTTGACGTGTTTGTAAAAACAAAGTATTTGGCTGTCTCTTTTTCGTATCTCGTCATCGATTTTAGTATCGTTGGCTCTCCTGCTGAGATTTCTTTTTAATGCAAATTGATGGATTGTAGCCACGGCCATGCAGATTCTTTCTAAGAACGTTTCCCCCAAAACAGTATTGAAAATGGGGCAGCAAATAACTGCCACCCAAGACTATAACGAGTACAGCTTATCATTGATGCACGATAGAAAGGACAGATGGAGAGGCTCTCCGTAATTCAGTCCAACTTTACCCTAGTCCTGTGGCATCTCAAAGACTTCAGTGCCATCAACCTTTTCATTTTCTACTGTACTATTTTTTTCTTTTTTGCATCCAATATCTAATAATTTTCCTGCAGTGCCTCACTTCGAGGGGATATATGCAAGGGGAACCTGTTGTGTGCCGCCTGCCATAATGCCTTTTGTCTTGCAGAGGGACACTCTATGTGGGCTTCCGTGACAAGCAGTAGCGAGGAGATCATTGAGCCGGACTACATGAGCATAGAGCAATTGTTTTGCTTCCCTCAAACGAAGCCCAAGGAGAAACAGGCAGCCCCGGTGAAGGTGGAACCGAAGGAGGTAGGACAATGATCCATCTGTATAACTGCACAGTCTGTCCCAATGATACCAATAAGACTGCCTTGCAGATAGCCACTTGCCTGTGATGATGGAGAATCTCCTTTAGGTGACCAGGCAAGGAAGCTTTCAAAGTAGGGCAGGAAAGTTGCTTCTTTTCTTATCATAGAATGATATAATTATAGAGTTGGAAGGGACCCAAGGGTCATCTAATCCAACCCCCTACGAAGCAGGAATCTCAACTAAAGCATCCCTGACAGATGGCCATCCAACCTCTGCTTAAGAACCTCTAAGGAAGGAGAGTCCACCACCTCCTGAGGGAGCCCATTCCACTGTCAAACAGCTCTTACCCTCAGAAAGTGTGAAGTCGGAATCTCCTTCCTTGTAACTTGAAGCCATTGGTTTGAGTCCTACCCTCCAGAGCAGGAGAAAACAAGCTTGCTCCATCCTCCATGTGACAGCCCTTGAGATATTGGAAGATGGCTATCATAACTCCTTTCAGTCTCCTCTTTTTCAGACTAAACAAACCAGCTCCTTCAGCCTTTTCTTCAGTAAGGAAACCGGGCCAACAGCCCATCTAGTTTAGCATCCTCTTCTCACAGTGGCCAACCAAATGTTTCAATAGGAAACTTGCAAGCAGGACCCAAGCACAAGAACACTCTCCCTCCTGAGATATCCAGCAACTGGTGTTCAGAAGCTTGGCTGCCTCCAACTCTCGTCGCAGAGCAGAGCCATCATGGCTAGTGTTGTAAACAAAAATTGCCCTTTTCCCTTATGGGGTATCCAAGAACCCATATAGAGTCCTTACATAGGTTCCCTATTGGTAGGAGAGAATAACAGAGGCCAACCAGAGAATATTGAGAAGCAAAGCAGCTACTAAGCTTGATATTTATTGATCTGTTGCAACAGGGTGCTCCCCTCACCCGCAGGAGAGGAGGAGGAACCCAGAAAAAATGGTGCGCACGGCCTTATAAAGACTTTTGAAATTGCCACCCTGTAGTTCAAGACCACCCCCCCAGAAACATCATACCTACATCACAGAAAAGGTGGTCTTAAAACAGAAATTTGAATGTTGTTTTTCTCCTGTCGTTGTTTATCTTCTGTCTGGCAGGTTACTTGATTGGATTTCCTGGGGAGCTTGGCTAGTCTTTTGTAATGATAAATACTTAGTTCCTGGTCCAGGTCACAGGCTCACACCCTATTCATATCTTAAATGTGCCCTTAAGACAGGATTTGTGAGGAAAGAGACAATGGGAGGTTTCCCACTTTGACCTTGCAGAGAAAACATTTGCTCAGTTTAGGAATCAAAATGGTTTCAGGTTGGTTTTCCTTTGCTGATCTATGTACGTGCTTGGTTGGTACGCTTATGAACATTACCATATAGCTAAGACCTCAAAATTTCTATCACACTAGTAGCCATGAAATTGTTTGATCCTCTTTTAAATCCTTTTAAATTTGTCTAATCCTCTTCTTTTCTTGTGGAAGGGCCATAGCTCAGTGGTACACCATTTGTCCTGCATGCAGGAGGTCCCCGGTTCAAATCCCATCATCTCTAGGTAGGGCTGGGAAAAGAGACCCCTGACCGTAACCTTGGAGAGCTGTGGCCAATTCGTGTAGGCAGTACTGTGCCAAACAGACCAATGGTCTAACCATTAAGAAAAAGTGGCCGAGTAACTTTTGTGCGCTTCTTTGTAAGAATGACCAAACATATTTTCCTTTTCCGAAATAGATCACGTTTCTGGAGTCCAAGAAGAGTCTCAATTTGAACATCTTTTTGAAGCAATTCAAGTGGTGAGATCTCGTTAATAGCCATTGATTGATCTAGCCTCATTGAATGTGTCTTAATTCTTTTCTGAAACTGGCTTAGCTGATGACCAGCACTACAGCTTGTTGCAGCGAACTCCATAAGTCAATTATGCCGCCCAGAGTGGCTGGGGCGGCCCAGCCAGATGGGCGGGGTACAAATAATAAATTATTATTATTATTATTATTATTATTATTATTATTATTATGCACAGAATGAAGAAGAGTTTGCTTTTGTTAGGGATGGAGAAGGGAGATTTGATTCAGTTTGTGTTTAGATGTGAACACACATTATTCACACTTTCTGAAGCAGCACAGGAACCAAAACGGAGTCATCCTTTGAATCTACGCTACTCTGAATTTTGCAATTCAGTTCTTCTATCAAGTAATGTGCTGGGGGGAGATGTGCACTATGAAGAAAAGTGTGCATAGAAACACACATATTCTTAGCAAAACTAACATACAAAAATGCACAATATATTAGGGACTACAAAATGTGTATATTAAGGGAAAATGCAAACATGTTGTATCAGAAGAAAATTGCATTATAATGCTAATGACTTTTCATGAGGACTTGAAAACCCCAAAATAAATTAAAACTGATGTTGAAATCTGAAAAACTAAACTTAAGCTAGAAAAATGAGAAACTGAGAAACACAAAAATTGATAGGTTCTCCCATCCCTAACATTCATCCTGAACTGACTTGCCAGGCAACTTCATTGGGCAACCTTCAAATTCTAACATTCTCAGAAGAGGTCATATGATCCCCCTGCCTCCCCTCCCAGTTCATAATCCCCTGTCCCCGCAGGGCAGTAGTTGCATCTAACCAACAATCTCTTTGATCGATAGCCCAAATGTGGAGGTGGTTGACATGATCCAGAAGGGCGACCGAACGAAGTTTGACGTGGAGGTTCTCAAGCAGCTGCTGAAACTCCTACCTGAAAAGCATGAAGTAAGCTGTGCCCTTCTTTCTAAACACACATAAGCAAAGTCTTATTTCAGTTCTTCTCTGTGTTGCAGTGAGGATGTAAACGCATTGATGTTCTTGGAACTTCTGCTTTCTTCTCAGATAGAAAACCTGAAATCCTTCAAAGAAGAAAAGGACAAATTAGCAAATGCAGACCAGTTCTATCTTCTACTCCTTGGGGTTCCTAGGTAATGGAAAGCCTCACATCTTTTAACAGGGGCTGTTAAGGAAATGAATCCTATGTTCTAACAGATTGACAGAGGCCCTGACTTGTATCTGTGGACATCAAGGTTCACCTCCCAATTTATGTGTTTTTAATTGAGAATTTTTGGCTTTTGTTACTTAGTGAGGAGTTGTCTGTTTTGAGGGAAGGTTGGTTTTTTTTGTCTTGCCTGCGTTTTATTAGTTTTTGGGAAGTGGAGGCATTTTATCTGTTGTACCAGAAAGGGTGTTTATTCAGAATCTTTTCTCTTGTAACTTGAAGCCATTGGTTTGAGTCCTACCCTCCAGAGCAGGAGAAAACAAGCTTGCTCCATCTTCCATGTGACAGCCCTTGAGATATTTGAAAATAATAATAGTAATAGTAATAGTAATAATAGTAGTAATAAAAAAATAATAATAAATTTATTATTTATACCCCGTCCATCTGGCTGGGTCTCCCCAGCCACTTTGGGCGGCTCCTGACAGAATATTAATAATAATAAAAAAGCGATAAAACATCAAACATTTAAAACATCCCTAAACAGGACTGCTTCAGATAGTGGTGCCATTTGTTATTCCACTAGTGTTGTATATCAATGGTTCTCAACCTGTGGGTCCCCAGATGTTGTTGGACTACAACTCCCATCATCCCTGAGCTCTACCCTTGCTAGCTAGGGGTGATGGGAGTTGTAGTTCAACAACATCTGGGGACACACAGGTTGAGAAAGGCTGCCATATATTGTTTGACTACAACTCCCATCATCTCCTACCATTGAGCATGTTGGGTGAGACTGATTAGAGTTGTACTCCACGGCCCCTGGGGCCCCCACACTGGCTCCCCCTACAGTAAAATGATCCTGAGCTGAATAGGCCAGTCCACGTAGTTCAGTATAAGACAGTGACATATGTTCAGCCTACATCAGGTATACTGCTTTCAGATTTGGTGATTCCACCTGCCTCTGGTGGCTAGTAGCCATGAAAAGACCTGTCTCTGTTTATGTGCCTGAGAATTCAGCTATCTAGAGGTGCCTGCAGGGAAACTGGGCCATTTTGATCAACATAACATAGCTTTGACCAAGCTCCTCCTCAGCAACAGCTAGCCTAAAATAATATCAACTCTTTGTTCTGATTAAATGTACAGCATGGTGTTCCCACACTGGTTTTCTATTTATTATTATTATCGTTCAACCCGGACACTGAGCTCCAGAGCCAAGGGCCTTCTGGTGGTTCCCTCACTGTGAGAAGCAAAGTTACAGGGAACCAGGCAGAGGGCCTTCTTGGTAGTGGCGCCCGCCCTGTGGAACACCCTCCCATCAGATGTCAAAGAAATTAACAACTACGAGACTTTTAGAAGACATCTGAAGGCAGCCCTGTTTAGGGAAGTTTTTAATGGTTGATGTTTTAATGTATTTTTACTGTTTTGTTGGAAGCCGCCCAGAATGGCTGGGGAAATCCAGCCAGATGGGTGGGGTGTAAATAATAAGTTGTTGTTGTTGGCTCCCAAAAATAGGGGTCATCTTATACATGGGGTCGTGTTATACATGGAAAAGTGTGGTACATCTTTCTCTATTTTCAGATCATAAAGTCCTTTTTACAGATCAGTTCTAGTTGATGTGAGACTTTAATGCCATTTACAGTATAAAGTTGGGGGAGAAGAGAGAGCAGGGAAGAGAAGGGGCTAGTGCACTTTCATCCTTTCAGCATAATGTATGTGCGATGTTTTTGTGCCAGCGTCACTGTTTCTGTTCCAGCTACCAGCTGCGGATCGAGTGCATGCTCATGTGCGAAGAGACGGCCGTTCTGCTGGAGATGCTGCAGCCCAAAGCCGAAACCATCAGGAGGGCCTGTGAAGGTAAACAAGGGCTCAACCCCTAGGTAGATCTTGTGTCAGTTCTTTAAAAATGTAGTATAAACACTGACAACTGGGAAACACTGGCCTATGAGTGCGCCAGATGGAGAACAGCCTTTACCAAAGGTGTCATGTGTTTTGAAGACGCTCTCAGGACAAAAGGGAGAAATGAGCTAAGAGGAAGGCATGCTTGGCAAATCCACACCGTGATCAACTCCCGACCAATGTCCCCACTGTGGAAGGACGTGTGGGTCCAGAATTGGCCTCCACAGTCACTTACGGACTCATTGTTAAGACCGTGTTTATGGAAGACAGCTACGAGTGATCACCAAAGAAGAAGAGATCTTTTGTGCTCCCCAATGTTTAGACATCCCACCTCAGATGGAGATGTTCAAAGAAATCAAACTCCCCGGGAGGTGTTCTACGGCAGTCCTATATAGAGTAGACCCATTGAAGTTAATAACTAACTTGGGTTCAGTTATAGGTAGGACTTGGTCAAATGCAAGAATTGGCTTTTTTAATGAGAAACCAGGTCATACGCTGCCCCAATGCACAGATCTGTGTTTGTGCAGGAAATGCAAACTTTAGCTGTCTTATGTACTCGGTGCCTCCAGATTAGGCTAGCACAGATCAGCCGAGTGATGGTGAATGGAATGGAGCCACGATCCGTTCGGCATGCAGTGTGCTAGTCCCATCTGCATAGCAACAGTTTCCAAAGAAACCTCAGCCCATAAATGAGCTGTAGGTGCTGCTGCCCTTCACTTGAAAGCTGGCTTCCTGGCTTAGAAATCTGTTCTCCTCCATACCCCCTAAATTAAGGCATTTTGCTTACCCATGCAAAGATAACTCTGCAAGGGAGGACTGGGGGCACGATGGCAGGCCTCACCTCTCTGTATGTTTCCTAACCTTTATTTGGGAAGGACTGTAGCTCAGTAGTAGGGCATGTGCTTTGCAAGCAGAAGGTCTCAGGTTCAATGAAACCCTGGGGATCTGCTGCCAGTCAGGGTAAGCTGCACTGAGCTAAATGGACCAGTGATATTTACTCGCCATAAGGCAGCTTCCTAGACTCCTGGTTCTAAATCTGATATAGGAATCTTCCATGGCTATGCACAAAAAGAAAGGATCATCTAGTCCAACCCTCTGCAATGCAGCTGTCTCATACAAGGATCGAACCTGCAACTTTGGCAATATCAGCACCATGCTCTAACCAGCTGAGCTAGCCACTGTCAGAGGCAGCATTTCTCTTAAAAGAGAGCCAGTGTGGTGTAGTGGTTAGGAGTGGTAGTCTCGTAATCTGGGGAACCGGGTTCGCTTCCCCGCTCCTCCACATGCAGCTGCTGGGTGACCTTGGGCCAGTCACGCTTCTTTGAAGTCTCTCAGCCCTACTCACCTCACAGAGTGTTTGTTGTGGGGGAGGAAGGGAAAGGAGAATGTTAGCCGCTTTGAGACTCCTTAAAGGGAGTGAAAGGCGGGATATCAAATCCAAACTCTTCTTCTTCTTCTTCTTAAGAACCAGTTGCTTGGAATCACAGATGGGGAGAGGGCTGTTGCCCTAAGATCTTGTTTTCAGGCTTTGTACCAGTTAATTTTTTTCCTCCCCCAGATCTCCTCACCAGCCAACGGTTGCCTGTTTTCTGTCAGTTGATCCTTAAAGTTGGAAACTTCTTGAACTACGTAAGTGATAGTTTAAAACATGCATTTTAGAAGTAGCCTTAGTCTTTCCCTTCCTTTCCCTGTGGTTTAGGGATGGGAGAGAGATTTGTTTCAGTTCAGTTTTAAAGGCAAACCTACATATGTTTGTGCTTCTTGCAAACCAAAACATAGTTATCCCTCAAAATTCACACTCCTCTGAATTTTGCTATGCAGTTCTTCAGTTGGGTAATGTTCACAGAAAAGGCACACCCTAGGGCAAAGTGTGTGTAAAAATTCATTATTAATAATATTTAAAATAATAACATACAAAAAAAACCCTTTCTATCTGGTGAAATCGTTTGCAAAAAACAAATAGTAATCTACCATATTGGCCTGAATATAAGCCTCAGTTTTTCCCCAAATTCTGACCATGAAAAGTTAAAGTGTGGATTATATTCGCGACCTTACGGTATGCAGCCAGGAGCGCAGGGCAAACAGCGCCAGGAGTGCGGCAAAGTGGCACCCGTCCCATGCGTAGTCCCCCGTCCTCTCCCCCAAGGCCTGGAAGGGAGAGAGCGAGGAATGGGAAAGGCTGCCAGAACACAGCACAGCTAACACACCCCCCCCCAGTATGCAGTCAGGAGCAGCGAGGAATGGAGCGGCTTATATTTGGGTATTTTTTTCTTATTTTTTTCTTTCCCCCCCCCTCCAATTTTAAAGGTGCGGCTTATATTCAGGTGCGGCCAATACGGTATTTTAGGTGAATTTTTCGTGAGTTTTTTTTATGTAAGAAAAAATGCTCAAACTGATGCGGAAATGTGGTGAACGGAACTTAACGACTGGGAAAATGAGAAACTGGCAGAAACCAAAATGGGCAGATTCATCTATCCCTACTGACTCTGTCAGAGACAGCATTTCTCTAAATGCCAGTTGCTAGCAATCTCTTTTGGGAAGAGTTCCATTGCACTCAGAACCTGCTTGCAAACATCCCATAATCAAATGGCTGGTTAATGTGAGAACAGGATGCTTGTCTAGATGGACTTTTTGCTTGAACCAGCAAGGCTCTTCTTATGGGTCCATTTTGGTGTGTTTTTCTTCTTTCCACAGGGAAGTCACACGGGAGATGCCGACGGCTTTAAAATTGGCACTTTGCTCAAGCTAACAGAAACTAAGGCAAACCAGACTCGCATTACGCTGCTCCACCATATTTTGGAGGTATTTCCTGATATTTTGTGGGTTTTATATAATGTAATTTTATGCTGTGTGAACCGCCCTGAGATCTGTGGATGGAAGGCGATATACAAATTTATATGATGATGATGATGATGATGATGATGATAAATGTTTTCTTTTTTTTTGCTTAGGAAGTAGAAAAAAATCACACAGACTTGCTGCAGCTTCCCAAAGACATTGAATATGTTTCAAAGGCAGCAGGGTAGGAACGCATTGTGTGCATGCATGTGGGTGGGTGTGTTTTAAAAAATGTAAAGTTGTTGCCAAGGAAAAAATGAGACTGTCAGGGCTTTGGTCTTTGAATGTCATACTTCAGAGCAGGAGTGGGGAACTTGCAACCCCCTACAGATGTTGTTGAACTGCCAGGTCACGTCAGCCCCAAACAGCAGAGCCAGTTGTCAAGGATGATGCAGACTGTGGTCCAAGATTTGGCTAGAGGTCCCCTGTTCCTGTTTCCAAATGTACTGTAGTGAACTTCCTCATAGTTTTTAATCCTCTGCCCAAGATCTACAGCTGCATGATCCTGATATCTGGAAAGAGCTTTTATGTAAAATAGGCAAGGGCCTTTATGTACAACTTGTTGGTGCTGGGTTTCTTTTTAATTATTTTGCTTCTAATTTTTTTTTAAAAAAATACTGTATGGTTTTATGTTTTTGCATAGTAAACCGCTGCGATATATTTCTCTCTCTCTCTCTCTCTCACACGCACACACACACATTATTCTCTCTCTCTCACTCACACACACACACACACACACACACACATTATATTTTGCCTTGGGATTTTGGGGTGCAAATATCTCCTATCAAGAAATAAACTTCCAATGGGAATTTTATCCCTCAAAAGCCCCACATAACTCCCAGTTCCTTCCCAGGATTAGCAGATCCAGACGCCAGAACTTGTGGCCTGTTCCTTTTCAGGATCAACCTTGATGTGATACGTTCTGAATCCAGTTCCAATCTGAAAAAGCTGCAGGATCTTGAACGGAAATTGTCGTCATCAACGGAAGACGTGAGAGCCCAGTATGGAAAAGCTATTCAGGTAGGTCTGCGACAGGCTCACTGCGCTTAGAGGCCTCCGCCATTTTGCCAGGGCAGTTGTTGCTGTGTGTGTTGGTTTGTTTTTTTAATTCTGACCTAAATCCAATGTCTTTCAGGAGAGCATAAGCACTAACAAGACGTTGGAGGCCGAGTTCGAAGTCATTGAAACGAAGAAAGTAAAGCTTGCCAACTACCTCTGCGAGGACCCAAACAAGTTGTCTTTGGAAGATATGTTTAACACCATGAAAACTTTCCGGGATCTCTACATCAAAGCGTTAAAGGTTTGAATTTGAGAATGAAATAGTGGGCGCTGTGGGTTAAACCACAGAGCCTAGGACTTGCCAATCAGAAGGTTGGCAGTTCGAATCCCCGCAACGGTTGCTCGGTCCCAGCTCCTGCCAACCTAGCAGTTCGAAAGACCGTCAAAGTGCAAGTAGATAAATAGGTACCGCTCCAATGGGAAGGTAAACGGCGTTTCCATGTGCTGCTCTGGTTTTGCCAGAAGCAGCTTAGTCATGCTGGCCACATGACCCAGAAGCTGTACGCCGGCTCCCTCCGCCAATAAAGTGAGATAAGTGCCGCAACCCCAGAGTCAGTCACAACTGGACCTTAATGGTCAGGGGTCCCTTTACCTTTACCTTTAAATACTGTAAGGAATAGGAGATAAGGTGGGGAATCTGTTTGTTAACTGCAACATCAGCATCAGCAGCATCATTTAGCGTGCAGGATTACAATATGTACAGAAAAGGAAGCGCAGGAAAAATCAGATACTGCTTCTGGTAGTGGAGATAGAATTTAGCCATCATGGTTAGTAGCTGCTGTGGCAGCCTGATAATAAAGCAAACCTTTGTTTTCGTCAAAACAAAATTCCTTCCAGTAGCACCTTAAAGACCAACTAAGTTAGTTCTTGGTATGAACTTTCGTGTGCATGCACACTTCTTCAGATACCATCTTCAGGTATCTGAAGGTACCTTCTTCAGGTATCTGAAGAAGTGTGCATGCACACGAAAGCTCATACCAAGAACTAACTTAGTTGGTCTTTAAGGTGCTACTGGAAGGAATTTTGTTTTGACTATGGCAGACCAACACGGCTACCTATCTGTAACTTTGTTTTCGTGTTTTTGTTTTTTTAGAAAAAAGAAGTAGAGCTTGTTTTTCTAAGGCAGAGCTCTACCCGAGTGGTATCAGAGGAAAATGATTTAAAGTTAATGATTATTATAGACAGATAAAAGAGATTTACTCTACCTGATTATTTTGTGGATTTGTTATAATAATATATAAAAGTCTCTGCAGAAATTAGTACTTGTACAACCAATGTGCAGGGAGAGGAGATGAAGCATTGTAACATAATTACGTTGAATTTAATTGAATATTGAAATGAAAATTGGGAAAGCTAATGTATTTGGAGCAGCAACGGAAGGATGGAAAAAGAAGGAACATCTGGGGGGTGGGAAGTCAGTTTTTAAGTTTGTATTAAATTTGTATTAATTTGGTGACAATTTGTTTTTGGTTTTTTAAAGGAAAATCAATAAAAAATAATTTGCAAATAAAACTAAAGCAAACATTTGATATGCCCTTTACATGCCAGTGTCTCCTACCCACAGGAGAACAAGGACCGAAAGGAGCAAGCGGCAAGAGCTGAGAAACGGAAGAAGCAGCTGGAGGAAGAAGAGGCGAAGAGGCAGAAAGGAGAAAATGGAAAGATCGGTGAGTATCTCAATGGGCTTGTTGACGTAATGCAGTAGGTGTTTGAGCAAGAGTGCTCTTGGTCTTGGAAGTTCTGCTCAGTGCCTTGCTGCCTTCCCAGGTGATTTTTACAAACATGGATCATGAAAGACTGTTCCAGTACTCACTAGTGCAGTGGTTTCTCAGACTTTTTTTTTCTTTGGGCCACACTTTCAGAATTAAAATTTGCTTGTGCCACACTGATTATTTTTATTATTGATAACAAAAGCATTGGAAAACAAAGAGAAACAACTCCTAGCAGTGCTTTGTTTATAAGAGTATCACTTGTTGCTCTTGCTCTCGTTTTGAAAAGATTGTGGGAGCAGGCAGAGGATTTTGTTGTGGTTGTTGTTTAGTCGTTTAGTCGCGTCTGACTCTTCGTGACCCCATGGACCAGAACACACCAGGCACTCCTGTCTTCCACTGCCTCCCGTAGTTTGGTCAAACTCATGCTGGTAGCTTCGAGAACACTATCCAACCATCTCATCTTCTGTCGTCCCCTTCTCCTTGTGCCCTCCATCTTTCCCAACATCAGGGTCTTTTCCAGGGAGTCTTCTCTTCTCATGAGGGGGCCAAAGTATTGGAGCCTCAGCTTCAGGATCTGTCCTTCCAGTGAGCACTCAGGGCTGATTTCCTTCAGAATGGATAGGTTTAATCTTCTTGCAGTCCATGGGACTCTCAAGAGTCTCCTCCAGCACCATAATTCAAAAGCATCAATTCTTTGGCAATCAGCCTTCTTTATGGTCCAGCTCTCACTTCCATACATCACTACTGGGAAAACCATAGCTTTAACTATACGGACCTTTGTTGGCAAGGTGGTATCTATGCTTTAAAAAGATACCCAACCATATTCTGCAAAAAAAATAATTAATGGTGATAGTATGCTATACTGTATTACACTAAAGTGTTAAAATGCTTCTTTGAAGCTTCCCACCACACCCTTTGAGAACCACTGCTTCTAGTGCAACACAATATGATGGATTCAGTTGCCACAAAAAATGGCAAACTCCAAAAGTTTTTCGGAAGACAATTGACAAAGATTAGACTCCAGCAAAGCCAAAGCCAACTTTAGCTTTCTAACATGGAATATTGCAGGCTGGCCTAAAAAGGGAGCTGACCCGTCCTTTGGTAAATTCATCCAAGATTATGACATTGTATTTTTACAGGAGACCTGGAGTACAAGCGAAATAGATGTTAATGGCTTTTCCTCGTTCTGCCTCTCAGGATCACCAATATGATGGATTTTGGGATCATGTAGCCATGCTGCTAGGGAAAGAATAATGGTGTAGGCTGCCAGAGGGCAGCACACTGCATGGAAGGAAATTAAGTAAAAAGTTTCAATTAAACTACAGTGATACCTCGGTTCTCAAACATCTCCATTGACGAACATTTCGGAACCCCAACGCCGAAAACCCGGAAGTAAATGCTTCTGTTTTTGAACGTGCCTCGGAAGTCAAACGGCTTCCCCTGCATGTTTTTCAATTTTCTCAGCTGAATTTGCAGGCAGCCCTTTGCGCCTCGGTTTCCGAACGCTTCGGAACTGGAATGGTCTTCCGGAATGGATTATGTTCAAGAACCGAGGTGCCACTGTATTCTTCTTCCACCAACCAGATAATAATAATAATAATAATAATAATAATAATAATAATAATAATAAAATTATTTATATCCCGCCCTCGCCAGCCAAAGCTGGACTCAGGGCAGCTAACAACAGTAAAATAAATACAACATGCTCTCCAGATGTTTTGGGCGACAACCATTAACAGCGTTATCCTCTGCGGTTTTGTCTAATCCTTTCTTAAAGACACCCAGGATGGCAGCCATCACTACATCTCGTGGGAGCTTAAATATAAATACCTTCTTTTGAAATTCAGAAGCCCCAGCATGTCAGCAGCCCATCACACTGATCGTCCGGCTAACTCTCTCCTCTATTTCCAACAGCAGTTAAGAAAGGAGCTGTGAAGCAAGACGAAGTGTGTGTTATCGATGCTTTGCTGGCTGACATCAGGAAGGGGTTCCAGCTGCGGAAAACGGCCAGGAACAAAGCCGATACAGACACGCCCGCGAAGACATCACCCAGTCAACCGCAGAAAGGGAAAGAAAATGGTAAGAACAGGAAATCTAAAAGTCGTAGTAATAGTCATATCTTGGTTTTCGAACAGCCTAGTTCTTGGACGTTTTGGCTCCTGAATGCTGCAAACCCGGAAGTGACTGTTCCGGTTTGCGAACTATTTTTGGAAGCCGAACGTTCCAACGGGGCTTCCGCAGCTACCCATTGGCTGCAGGAGCTTCCTGCAGCCAATTGGAAGCCGCGATTTTGCGAACGTTTTGGAAGTCGAATGGACTTCCGGAACGGATTCCGTTCGATTTCCAAGGTATGACTGTAGTAGCAATTGCTCTTTCTGCTGCTGCTGCTGCTGTTGTTGTTAAAACTAACATGCTATTACCCATCCTTTACCCTGATATCCCAGGGCAAGATCAAATACAACATTAAAACAGATTTAAACAACTTGCAGTCGCAAAAATCCAGCCATCACTGCAATGAAAATGGGTTTTTTTAATTTTATGGGCAGCCTTGTCCCATAAACAATTGCTCTTTTTGGTGGCGACAGGGGGTGGGGATTTTGAGAAAATAAGATTTCCTGCTCGCTTAGGTGGCAAAGGTCCACCTAGACAGGCATTCTGTTCTCAAAGTGGCCTACGGGACCTAATTCCAATGGGAAGCCTGCAAGTAGGACCTGAACACAACAGGTCCCAGCAACTGATACCCAGAGCATCTGTGCAATTCTGCTTTGTGTGAGTAGCGTTTCATCTGACTGAGCCCCCGTGTGGCGGAATCTGGAATTTACCATTTCGGAGGCTGGGACTAGACGTCAGGGCAAATAGGAGGCTGAGCTAGAAAGCAGCAACCCAATGGCATTCAATTTATATCCCACCATCTTCTCCAAGGAGAGGGACGCAGGTGGCGCTGTGGGTTAAACCACAGAGCCTAGGACTTGCCGATCAGAAGGTTGGCGGTTCGAATCCCTGAGACAGGGTGAGCTCCCGTTGCTCGGTCTCTGCTCCTGCCAACCTAGCAGTTCCAAAGCACATCAAAAAGTGCAAGTAGATAAATAGGTACCGCTCTGGCGGGAAGGTAAACGGCGTTTCCGTGTGCTGCTCTGGTTTGCCAGAAGCGGCTTAGTCATGCTGGCCACATGACCCGGAAGCTGTACGCCAGCTCCCTCGTCCAATAAAGCGAGATGAACACTGCAACCCCAGAGTCGGTGACGACTGGACCTAATGGTCAGGGGTCCCTTTACCTTTACCTTTATCTTCTCCAAGGAGCTAAAGTTGGTGTATGCTGTTCTCTCCCTCCTCATTTAACGCTGACAACAACCTTGTGAGGTAGGATAGGCGGCAAGGCAGTAACCAGCTCAAGGTCACCCAGTGAGTTTCATGGCTGAGTGGGGCTCCGAGCCCTCTTCTCCCAGGTCCATAGGAGTCAATAAAATATTTGAGGGGGCTGGGCATTGCCATTCAAATGGTGTGTGTGCACCGCATCATGTGATCAGTTATGCGGGGCTTACTTGCCCCCACCCAATATTTTATTCAGGCGGGCACCCCTGCCCAGTTCCAAGGCTGTTGCTCTAGCCCAGGCATAGGCAAACTCGGCCCTCCAGATGTTTTGGGACTACAACTCCCATCATCTCTAGCTAACAGGACCAGTGGTCGGGGTTATGGGGATTGTAGTCCAAAAACATCTGGAGGGCTGAGTTTGCCTATGCCTGCTCTAGCCACTGCACAACACTGCTGCATCAACAGTTACTCAGCATGTGGCATCACATCACATTTCCCATCTCCCCCAATGGCAGGCAGTAGAATAAAGGAAAGGCAGGGAAACTCGCATTACTAAGAAAGAGAGGTAAGGGACGTGGGTGGCGCTGTGGGTTAAACCACAGAGCCTAGGACTTGCCAATCAGAAGGTCGGCGGTTCGAATCCCCGCGATGGGGTGAGCTCCCGTTGCTCAGTCCCTGCTCCTGCCAACCTAGCAGTTCGAAAGCACGTCAAAGTGCAAGTAGATAAATAGGTACCGCTCCGGCGGGAAGGTAAACGGCGTTTCTGTGCGCTGCTCTGGTTCGCCAGAAGCGGCTTAGTCATGCTGGCCACATGACCCGGAAGCTGCACGCCGGCTCCCTCGGCCAGTAAAGCGAAATGAGCGCCGCAACCCAAGAGTCGGTCACGACTGGATGTAATGGTCAGGGGTCCCTTTACCTTTACCTTTAAGAAAGAGAGGTGGAGAAACCAGAAAGTCTTGGTGGGGGCTGGCACTCGGGAAACTCAGGAGTAGCCTCAATGTTTGCCCGACAGTGTGTTTCTTTCTCATTCACAAAAAAACAACAACCCAGAGATGGATCTAATCCTTGTGTATTTTGTCAATTTTTTCAGTCCAAAGTGTCCAGCCTGCCAAAGACCCAGCGAAGGATGGGCAAAAGGATGTGGTTGCACAAACTAAGCTCCAGAATCAAGTAGAAAAAACAGCTTCAGATGTCATGACCCCAGTTAAGACGCAGGAGGCTGTCGCTGTCCCCATGGCTTCTGACAAGCCCGTTCCCGGAGTGGGGAGTGGGAGATGTTCTCCAACCCGGCCTGGTACTGAGACGAGTTCCTTGAATTCGTTTCCACTGGAGGGAGGCGGAAAATCAGGAAACGGCACAAGCATGCAAGAGGGGGCCGTCCCTTGTAGCACCCAGGACAACGTGGACTTCAATGACTTGGTGTTGTCCCAGTCGACCTCCTTCATCAAGTTTGGGAGCAGCACCTCAGGCCTTGGAAGCGAAACTATTTCATTAAGCTCTGGAGACCCAGCTGGCGGAACAGAACTGGTTTGTTCGCAGAACGGCTTAAATCCAAATGACCAGGTGAGCGGCGCCGTCAGGAAAAGCGGCAGAAAGGAGAAAGATCCTGGACATACCACAGAGCTACCAACCCCAGAGGCGCCGAAAGAAGCGATCAAGGAAAACAAAGAACCTTCTATAGACTCTCTGGTGGACATCTCTCAGGAGAAGTCCTTCTCGGAGGAGCCGGTGACGGATTCTTCGTGCTCGGCGGCGGTCCCCCCGGAGCAAGCCCTTGCCGACAAGGAGGGCCAAAGGGGCTCCTCAAAGCGAAAGAAGAAGAAAAGGCACAGCAAGAGCAACTCAAGTAAGCCCTTTTTGAATTGTAATTGCTGGAGGTCAAGACTGAGCCGAACTTAGCTAGCTTGCTCGCTCATGGGCTTCATTCAGGCAGACCTGCCCTCTCTCCTTTGGAGATTTTCAGGGATGGGAAAAAAGGGCAAAACGTTCATCCCCTTTGGGAATGGCAGCCACACTCCCAACTTCTGCCTGGCACATTTATTTATTTATTTATTTATTTATTTATTTAACGTTTGTGTGCCGCCCTTTATCCATAGATCTCAGGGCGGTTCGCAAGATAAGAAACCATGGGCAGCAACGACAGGCATTAGCCTGAGGTAGCTTCAGATGTCGCCATCGCATAGCCAAATCCGATTGGCTACGTAACTTCCTTGCGAAGTCAACTCCGACCGAGGGCGACGCTTCCGTTCCCTTACTCCGATTTGACTTTGTGACACAGCCAATGAGATGTGGCCACCTGGCGATGTTTGTAGCCAGCTCCGAGGGTTCTTTCTGCCCTCCCTCTGGCATCTTGAGGGGAAAAAAGAAAAAAAGGTGCACACTGGTCCAGTAAATAAGTGGTGAGAAATCTGAGTGGCTGGGAGAACATCTTCCCCTCTCCACCAAAACCCATTTCGAAACAGAATATCTGAGAATTGTTGGCTAAGTGTTATTGGAGGTATACTTTTATATAATGGACAGGAAGCTGAAGCTTATTTACAGTAGTACCTTGGTTCTCGAACTTAATCCGTTCCGGGAGTCCATTTGAATCCCAAAACAGTTCAAAAACCAAGACGCAGCTTCCGATTGGCTGCAGGAGCTTCCTGCACTCAATCGGAAGCCGCGTCAAACATTTGGCTTCCGAAAAACGTTCACAAACCGGAACACTCACTTCCAGGTTTGCAGCGTTTTAGGAGCTGATTTGTTCTAGAGCCAAGCCGTTTGAGTACCAGGGTACCACTGTATACCTAAATTAGATTATTTCTCCCCTCCCCCTCATCTAATCTACCAATTAGATGCCCATGGGAAGCCCACAAACAGTGCAACAGCACTCTCCTCGGTTGTGATTCCCAGCAACTCATACTCACTGTCATTCTGCTTCTGCCAATAGATGTAGGTCATAACTATTGTGGCTGGTAGGCATTGACAATGGTTATTGAACCTCCAAGAGAATAATTATGATGCCATACAGCTGGACCTCTGCATTTTCATTCCTTGCAAATGCATACATCCATCCTACAAAAAAAAAAAAGATGGACGTCTGCCTTTCTGCTTCAGAGCTCTTGCTTAACTTGTATGCAAGCGTCATCAGTTCATTAATTATGACTGATCAACTAAAGCTCCCGAGGTTAACCGGCTAAGACGTCTTTAATCAAGCGACTTCTTCGTGACATCCCGCTGACCTTTGGCCCGAATGGCCATGTTGTTAACAGTTTTGGTATTGCTAATCACCTGGCTACATTCAGCGTCTCTCTTTTATTTGAAAGCAGTGGTTGACACTGATTTAAAAGCGATGGTTGATACTGGAGATAATAAAGCAAAAAGAGGTTGTGAGTTGCAGTGAGGTATGTAAACCACCGGGGGCAGCTTCTCTGTGTGAACTAACCGTCGCGTTTGGGACTTCCCATGCCTAATGATTGTTGCCACGTAAAGCTGTGCTTCTGCCTCTGTAATGGCTAATTATATGCGCTATATTCTTTTCGTGTGTGTAATTTTGCCATCCGGGTCCAATCTCTGTAGCTACTGGAGTCACTAGCAAGACTCCTAGTTGCTCAGGATTGGGTCCAAGGTCTTACCTTTTTTTGTGTCAAGCCAATCATCGTTTCCTCACAGGAAAATTTTCGTCTCCTGTTGAATCGTTTAATGTTGTCAGGCGTGTGGGGATTACGGGTGTCCTTTTCGTCTTGATTTCTGTTTTCCATACCTTAAAATCTTGTAAAAATGCAATTTCAGTTATGTTCTCCTTCTTTGCAACAGTAGAATGAAACTGAGGCTTTCCCACAGCCATCCATTGAACTTCATGGCAAAATAGAGCTTTGAGTGAAGATTTAAGCCCAAACCGTTCTGCGCACTGGGCCCACTCCGTTGTTGAAACACTCTAGTAATATAACTCTAGTAATATAGCTACACGAGTGGCGCTGTGGTCTCAACCACTGAGCCTCTTGGACTTGCCGATCCGAAGCTTGGCGGTTCGAATCCCTGCGACGGAGTGAGCTCTCGTTGCTCTGTCCCAGTTCCTGCCAACCTAGCAGTTCAAAAGCACACCAGTGCAAGTAGATAAATAGGTACTGCTCCGGCGGGAAGGTGAACAGCGTTTCCATGTGCTCTGGTTTCCGTCACAGTGTTCCATTGCACCAGAAGCAGTTTAGTCCTGCTGGCCACATGACCCAGAAAGCTGTCTGTGGAAAAATGCCGGCTCCCTCAGCCTAAAAGCGAGATGAACACCACAACCCCATAGTCACTTTTGACTGGACTTAACCATCCAGGGGTCCTTCACCTTTAATAATATAACTCTTATTGTTTGCACAGTGCTTTGGCAGGTTGAAACCACTTCTCATGTTTGAGAACTAGGCCGTTTGAAAACCAAGGATAAATGGACAAAAGTACAAAGATTCACAAAATGTTTAGGGGTATGCGTACCCCTGCATCGCCCCCAGAAAAAAAGCACTGGGCGTATCTGTGAGTCACCAACCCACCACCACCAAAACTCCTCTGTTCACTGGAGCTGTGACATAAATCTGGATCAAATCTGATGGTGGGTTTGCGCTGCTGTTGGATATCCAAAGGACTCTTCAGTTCTTCCATTGCTCAATGAGACTCCACTCAGATTTTGCCTTCAGTGGTGTAAAGCAGGCATTCCCCCCCATCTGTGGCCTTTTAGATGTTGCCGCACTCCAAGTCCCATCACTCCCAGCAAGCATGGTCCGTTGTCAGGCCCAATGGATGTTGTAGTCCAAGATGCCTGGAGGGTGTTTGGGGAGGACAAAGTGTCAAGAAACAAGAAGAAGAATATCCTGAAATTGCATAGTTACTCCTTCTTTTGCCTTCTGATTGCAAGCCACCATAACATAACCCAATGAATCAATGACACCTTGTTACATGACCAGTGTGTTTGTTTTACCAGGCCTTCCATTCCCACACCCTTACCCAGCTAACTCTGTAAATACCCGTACTGGAAACGATATGGAAGATCTTTCCCAAGAGATCCCAATAATTGTCCACAAATGGCCAGTCTTTTTCCATAAGAGCACTTTGTTCAGTAAATATCCTATTCAGAGTTCCCTATTCTCAATCACACACCCCACAAAAAAGGAAAATCTTCCAATCAGTGCATGAAGATGAACAAAAATCTGGAAGCTCAAGTACAGATTTTAAAAGAAGTTATAAAATGTTCATCTTAATAGCTATGCTGTCAATATAGCCTTTATACGCATAGTGACTTTGGCGAACATGCAAACTGTTTCTGTTGGAGGCTATTGTAGACATTTTCATTCCACACCTCCCAGTAATGCATTCACTTGAAAACACAAGTCAAGGCAAAAAAATCATTTATCCGCAATATTTATAAACTGCTCCCTCTCCCCCACCATAGAACCAAAGTGGAACTCTCAAATTTCATTATCCCTTTCAGCTTGGGAGGTTTGCAGACTGCTAAAACTCTCAGTCATCTCCCCAGGGAAAAAAATGGCACATGAAGCTGCAGCAGTGTTAGAGCTAAACAGATTGCAGCGCGGACAGAGATCGTACACGATGCTCCAAATTAAGCAACCCCTTTGCTTCAAAATGGCACTAAGGAAATTGATGTGTCCTTTCCTTTGCAGGTGGACCAGCGAGACAGAAAAAATAAAAAGACGCACATTCTTCAGTAACATATGCTATGGAAGGTGGCCATGGTAACGGGGGTAGAGGTGGGGTTGTTTTTTCTCCTAGGGTGACGGTGGGTATGTAATAGGTAGCACCCAGATGCAAGAGATTTCCAAACATACGTGCCTTATGCGAAGTTCTAATTCTATACCAACTCCCTCCCAGTTTCATGCTGTTGCGACAGGCCTCTGGTCAGTGTCACACTGGATGAACCACTCTGGGTAACTCACAGATCGAACGCCTGCAGAAGCCGAGGGAGATGTGGCCTAAATGGTGCCTCTAGGACCCAATGGCAGGGATAATTCAAGCCAACACTGTCAACTTCCTATTGGAAGTGCTTCCATTAAATGACTGTATAAATGGGCGCTGGCCATTGAAAGATATGCGGGACCAAGGTTGTGTTGTTTGTTGTTTGTTACTGTTGTTACATGAAATGCAAATGCTCTGCTGTGTCTGTTCCTACAAAGACCCACGCTCCTGTTCCAACTGAAATAACAAATTTGGCAATGCTATAAGGCCTCACCAGACTTAAGCAAGCAAGTTGTGCAGGAAGGCGAACAGGAAATCCCAAGATCTTTTCTCAAAGCTTACTCTTTCAAACTTGTAAATGTACCAAATAATACACAGTTCCCATTTTAGGTAATAGCACTGATATATACCTTGTCATGGAAGCCTTAGAGAACCCAACAGTCAGGAATCTAAACAAGAACTTTATTGATGCTTAAACAAGAACAGAACAGCAAATGGAAGTGCCTGACTCCACTCAGATACAACTAGATCTAGTGCCACCTAGTGACTAAACTTTAGAATGACATTATCCATGCAGGCCTATTCTGCATAAACTCCCAGCATTTATGCATCAAGCATGTCATCTGCTATGTCAATGATGAGCCATGGGCAGCTGCCACAGGTCAGCAGGGAGTTGGAAGCCCAAGAATGCACAGAAATACTTTAGAGCCAGGAAGACCTTGTTGTTCAGCTCAAAAAGGAAACCATTTATAGCCCTTCTGTGCACAGCCTGGATGGGCAGGGCCAGTCCAGAGTCTTAAGAATACTTTACTGCCAGGAATATACTCCAGTATGTGGCTTGGATAGCCTGCTTCCAACACGACAGCTGCACAGAGACATACTAGCTCCACCAAATCCCGACATAGTGTTCCATCTCCATGGACACTAAGTCCATCAATGGCTACTAGGCACAGTGGCTATCTTCTGCCTCCACTGTTGCTGGGAATCACAAGCAGGGAGAGTGCTGTCCTCAAGGCCTGCTTGCGGGTTTCCCATCAGCGTCATGTTGGCCGCTGTGAGAACAGGATCCTGAGCTTAGCTTGATCAGGCAAAGATCTTCTTAGGTTCCTATGTTCCAATTACTTCAGACAAAAAGCCCAGTCTACGCAGGCCTCTGAATGAAGTGGTCAGGTTCTAAAGAGATAAAATGGGGCTGCATGACTTCAGAACGAGGTGATGTTTTCGGATGCTGCCTTATATATATTTTTATTTTTTAAATCCATGGAAGTAGAAAACTAGCAGAGCTGGCTGGGCTAAATCTCCTTCTCCCTGGGGAGTGACAGTTTGAATGCAGGCTTGGATTTTTATTTTTTATTTTTTAAAAAAGGAGAGAAATCCCTGAAAGTCGGAAGCTAACACAACAGACCCGGCTAAAGCCCTTTTCTCTAGATAAGCTAGTTGCTATAAACTGAAGTCCGTTCAAAAGATACGACCACCCCTTTCCTGCAGCCTGCAGCCTGAAGTGGTAATAGTCAATTCTGCCTCACACAGGATGGATCTAAACTCATGGTTTATAAAGTTAAGGAAGGGTTTTCATAACACAGATGGACACATTGCATCCTACTTTTAATGTTCATAATGCATTATTAAAATGTGGCAGAAGAGGGCGCTGCAGAGTAACCAAGAACTGGCAGTAGGGAAACAGCATTTTTATGGAGAAAACAAGGTGGGGGAATGCTTTTAAATTGCCAGAATGCCCTGTGATGTTTTGGAATGATATATCGTTCTAATAACACTGAACAGGTCAGTGTAGATCCAGCCTGAATCAGCTGCACTCTTGACTGGGAGGGTGTCCTAACTCTTTTCCTGCCTTCAGCTCAGCAACACACGAACCCTGCGCCCCACAATTCTGTGTGTCTTTGCCAGAAAAAACACTTGCCAAAGTATTAACATCCTTAACTCCCTAAAAGCTTTTCCCTCAAAACCTTTCCATGAGAAACCTCTGGATTTCAAAACCTGCTTTGTTTGGGGTTGTTGTTTTTCACTGCCTGAACTCGAGGGATTCTGTATAAGCTATGTGGCTTTAATGAACTTAAAACCTTTTGGTGTTCACTAATTGGAACCTTACATAATCTATCCTAAGAAGTGATTTACGTCATTGTTTATTTCTGTTGGATATGTACATAGCTGCCCCCTTCTGTATATTTTACCCAGGTGACATTGAAATATCACGTTGAAAGTATGGAAATAATTTTATATGCTGAGCTTAGTAACAATATTAATTGCACACATTCTTGTTAATGACTTACAAGAGGCTAGACGCTCTGCTGAACTGAGATGGGTGTCGTATGGTGGCTTATTTTGCCTAACACTGACTCGGAGGGCAGCCAGTTCTGGCCATTTCATTTTTTGGTGACCACAGGATTTCGTTTTGTCAAAAAGATCACGAGAATACTTAGGGCACCTTAAAACTGGTTGTGCATGTCATATTTGGAGAAGGTTTTGTTTGCAAAGTCCTGTTATCTAGCCCTGACCTAGCCTTGGAAAAGCTAGGCATTTATCTCCCTGTGGCCAACCACCTAGGCAAAACCCAAAAAAGTAGGTCAGGGCTTGATCTCTACAAGGCATAGTGAGCAGAAAGGGACACTTTTCAGGCAAACAACAGAGCACCAGACCAAACTCATGGACCAAACAAATGCATAGACAATAGGGGGCTATGGGGCTGGATTGAGAGAAGACCAATGCTCAGTGGTAGACCATCTGTCTGGCATGCAGAGGTTTCTAGGTTCGTTCCCAGCATCTCCAAGTAGAGTTGGGGGTGTCACCTGCCAGAGACCCCAGAAAAGCCACTGCCAGAGAAGACAATACTGAGCTAGATGGATGAATGGTCTGGTTCGTACAGTGTTACTGTCCCTCCACCAAACCAAGATGGAAGAAGCAGGAATTCAGTGGGACTTTGGTAGAAAGCCTTGGTTTTTAAGGAAGAGGGCAGCCTTGTCCAGCTCTGGAAGGACTAATGATGATTTCACAACGTAACTGCTCCAACTTTGTGTATATGCCTACTTCCTGAGTGCAATAAACTGGCTTATATTAAATATACTCCTCTAAGTCTGCCTCTTTTTTTAATTGAAAAAAAGTTGCATGAGAATTATGGTTTATTATATTTTAGGGTCCCCCAAAACGGAACCCAAAGCGGCACACACAAAAATGAAAATATGAAAAGTGCTAGAATGTGCAGAATTGCGATCTCCTGCCAACCCCTCCAGGTCCATCAAACACCACTCACAACATGGCTTCTTCTTTTTGCAGTTGAAGTCCTTCATCTTGGGAGTAAGACCCATTTGCATTCAGAGTGACTTGCTTCCGAATCCGTGAGATTGAGATTTTTGCTCCAAGTGTGGCAAAACCCATGTCGCATTTGCAGAAATACTAAATTTAAAATGTGTACATTAGGAGAGGGACGCGGGTGGCGCTGTGGGTTAAACCACAGAGCCTAGGACTTGCTGATCAGAAGGTTGGCGGTTTGAATCCCTGCCACGGGGTGAGCTCCCGTTGCTCGGTCCCTGCTCCTGCCAACCTAGCAGTTCGAGAGCACATCAAAGTGCAAGTAGATAAATAGGTACTGCTCCGGCGGGAAGGTAAACGGCGTTTCCGTGCGCTGCTCTGGTTCACCAGAAGCAGCTTAGTCATGCTGGCCACATGACCCGGAAGCTATACGCCGGCTCCCTCGGCCAATAAAGCGAGATGAGCACCGCAACCCCAGAGTCGTCCATGACTGGACCTAATGGTCAGGGGTCCCTTTACCTTTACATTAGGAGAGACGTACAATAAAGTGCCTAACCCACCCTCTAGGCCAGTGACTCAATGTTATTTTATTTATTTTTGTGATTATATCTGACCTTTTCCTCCAATGAGCAGAGGTTGGATGGCCATCTGTCATGGATGCCTTAGTTGAGATTCCTGCATTGCACGGGGTTGGGCTAGATGACCCTCAGGGTCCCATCCAACTCTACAATTCTATGATAAGGTGGCATGATAAGGATTCTTCCCCCACTCCATATTAGCCTCACAACACCCCTTTGAGGTAGGTTAGGTGGAGAAGCAGTGACTGTCCCAAGGTGAGCTTCATGGCCGAGTGAAAATTTGAACCCAGGTCTCCCACATCCTAGAACAGCCCTCTGGCCACCACAACGCACTGGTTAGTTTTTTATACAGAATGTTTCCATGCTGCTGAATCAAACCACACACTAAGCAGTTTGCAAGTGAAACTGTAGATACATCACCGCTAGAAGTCAGAAAGCAAATTCTATACACACACAGACACACATCTCAGAAGGTCTTCAGAGCGGCATCATGCAATATGATATCACATCACTCCTGGGAGGGTGCCAGAGATGTTAAAAAGCAGAGCAAAAAGAGATAAACCCTCAGCCATCTCATAAATTTCAGGTAAGACTCAGCCCCTGTCTTCAAGAAAGGTCAGCCCACTCCTAGCTCATGGGCAGTGGAGTCAAGGGGATTCCCTGGGCTGTATATACAGGTCCAACACTTAGGCCCTGGAGAGCAGGAAAGTGATCTGAACAAGGGGCAAGTTTGAGGCATCTTAGGTTCTAGAGCTTTCAACGTAGCATCCATTCTCCTAGCGCAAAATTCACAAATTCCGGGCGAATGTTCCTCTGCCGAGCCAAAGTCTGCAACCTTTCAAGAGACGTGCTCATTTTAGTAACAAAATCCATGGCAGTCCTGCTTTATCACACTACATTTTTTGGTAAGCTTTTCGATTCAGCTCTCCTCCGACCACCACCTCACTTGTATCCATAACGTAGCTTCATTTATAAAACTCTGAATGAAGATTATGCAGCCTCTGGAGATTTAGGTGTTTGGTTTAGTTCAGCTTTCCTCCCCGCCGCTGCCGCCACCACAATTAACCAACAGGAGAACAAACATCTGAAAGAAAACCAGGCCGTTTTATATGAAGTATGTTATACAGATAATACAATTTGCCCAGCAGGTGGCTCCATCTTCCCTCGAGTGAGCAGCTGACGTTTTTGGTTTTTTTGTCCCGTGCTGCAAGTCAACATAAATGGAGTTTACTTATGTATGGATCAATTAATGCATTTACTGTATTTATAGCTCGCCTTCAAGACAGCATATGTGGTTCTTCCCCCTCCAGCCATTTTACCCTCACAACAACCCTTTGAGGTAGGTCATGCTGAGAGACAGTGACTAGCTCCAAGGTCACCCCAGAGAAGCATCATGGCCAAGTGGGGATTTTGCGGGATGTAAAACTGCAGTCAAGTACAGCATTCCTACAGTGGACATGTTAGGGGATGTTTTGTACCACTCAGGAGAAGACTTCCTGTTTCCTCCTGAGCTGGGACAGACTTGCAAGAGGGTGTGGTCTGTTGTAGCAGCATGGAGGAGCACACGGCCTCCATGTTCTGACCAGTGTGTGTTCTCCATTTTGTATGTTGCTGTGTGTTTGGAGAAGTGACTGCTTAGTCACAGTCACTTGGGATTAACTTCTTTAAGGAATGTTGTTGTTGTTTAGTCATTTAGTCGTGTCCGACTCTCCGTGATCCCATGGACCAGAGCATGCCAGGCACTCCTGTCTTCCACTGCCTCCCGCAGTTTGGTCAAACTCATGCTGGTAGCTTTGAGAACACTGTCCAACCATCTCGTCCTCTGTCGTCCCCTTCTCCTTGTGCCCTCCATCTTTCCCAACATCAGGGACTTTTCCAAGGAGTCGAGTCTTCTCATGAGGTGGCCAAAGTATTGGAGCCTCAGCTTCACGATCTGTCCTTCCAGTGAGCCCTCAGGGCTGATTTCCTTAAAAATGGATAGGTTTGATCTTCTTGCAGTCCATGGGACTCTCAAGAGTCTCCTCCAACACCGTAATTCAAAAGCATCAATTCTTCAGCAATCAGCCTTCTTTATGGTCCAGCTCTCACTTCCATACATTACTACTGGGAAAACCATCACTTTAACTATAAGGACCTTTAAGGAATAGTTATAGTAGTTATGCAACCTAAGCCTGCCTTCAGGGATATGTTTGTGAACCTGAATGAATCTGTAAGTAAACTACTTTTATATTAATATTAATCAGATTCTTGTGTTTATTCATTTTAAGACGGATCAGAAGGGATTTTACCAGGAAGGAATCTTTAATAGTAAGACTCAGATGAGTCAGCAACAAGCTGATCACTGCGTAATTTAAAAAAGGGGACTCTGCCAGAATATGGAACTTGCTAGCGCAAGTTAGGAAGGATATCATTAAATAATATATCCTCTCCTGCCTCCCTAATCATCCCCACAGATTTAAAGTGCTGTGGTCTAAACCACTGAGCCTCTTAGGCTTGCCGATCGGAAGGTCGGCGGTTCGAATCCCCGCGACGGGGTGAGCTTCCATTGCTCACTCCCAGCTCCTGCCAACCTAGCAGTTTGAAAGCATGCCAAAAATGCAAGTAGATAAATAGGTACCACTCTGGCAGGAAGGTAAAGGCATTTCCATGCGCTGCTCTGGTTTTGCCAGAAGTGACTTAGTCATGCTGGCCACATGACCGGGAAGCTGTACGCTGGCTCCCTCAGCCAATAAAGCGAGATGGGCACCGCAACCCCAGAGTCGGTCACGACTGGACCTTTACCTTTTTTACTTAAGTGACCAGTGAACAGTTCACAGGACAGAGGAGTAAAGCCACGTTCCAATTTCCTTTTTTTAAAAAAAACAAGAAGTTGTTGCAAAAATTGACAAGCCATTTTCCTCAAAATGCATTTTTAGATTTTTCACTAATCTAACGTATAACTTCTAAGTGGTTATTTCCACAAATATATGCATTTTACACACTGTGTCCCCTAATATACATATGGCTGGAGAAGAGCCTCACAAACTGTGTTTCATTTTGCATATTATTTCCGGAAGTGCAAATGACTTTGGTTCACATTAAGATGGGCAGGGTATAAATAATAAAATAACGATATTAACAACGAGGCTGATCCAGATCTCCCCCCCCCCCCGTGTGTGTGTTATGACCCAAACAGCGAGTTGAAATGAACACATTTCAAATTTTACTATGAAGAGTTTGCATGCAGTATTTCAAATTTGAATTGGGGGTAAAATTCTACCTGAAAATTGGAAACGTTAGTGCTTTAGACTTGTTGGCATTTCTTGCTTTGATGCTGGCAGGTGCCAAGTATGAAATATAATAAGCTGTCAGTTGTCAAATCCTGTTAAAACGCCTTCACATTTCAGCTACAAAATATTAAGAATGTTGCAAAATGTTGCATCAGTAATTGTCAGGTCCATTAAATAGGGCTGCATCTCAGCTGTCGGCTCTAAATGTCATTTCGTATTTTGCCTGTGGTCAAGCGCCGCGGAGAACAAACTGTCAAATATCACATTTTGAAACACAGTTCTCCGAAATGGATATAAGATATGCAATGTCATTTTCACTAATATATGCATTTAATGGACACTTTCCCCCTAATAGGTACATTCTGAACACATTTTCTTTTGGTTCGGGAATGGCACTGCAAAATTCAGAGAAGTGCAGGTTTCTGCAATTCAATTCCCACAGTGTTTAGGGCATTGCAAATGAGGAAGACTCATGTTAAAAGGTGAAGTCAAGCCAATTTCCCCCCCAATCTGCAATGCTTGCTTTTTGCTGGCCTGGGCTAGCCTGGTCACCTGCTTGCCAGGCATCTATCAGTCAACAGGGAGGCAGAAGACACAGACCACATACTTCAGCTTACAGCATGCACATGTGTCACTATGCTCATGGGATGCCATGAGTGGTATTTGGGTGAGTAGCAAGCAGGCACTAGCTAGAGCGGTGAGATGTCAGGATGCTGTCCTGTCTCTGGTGCTGAGGTCAGATTATTATTTATTTATACATACATACATACATACATACATACATGCATACATACATACCCTATCCATCTGGCTGGGTTTCCCCAGCCACTCTGGGCGGCTTTCAACAGAATATTAAAATACAATAACCTATTAAACATTAAAAGCTTCCCTAAACAGGGCTGCCTTCAGATGTCTTCTAAATGTTAGGTAGTTGTTTATCTCTTTGACATCTGATGGGAGGGCTTTC